AGTCTGTATGAGGATACAGTGCAGAAGCAGCTGTGGGCGAGCCAAGGAGAAGCCTCAGGAGAAACCACAATTGCCCACACTTTGATCTTGGACTTTCAGCCTCTGACCTGGGAGAAAATATGTCTGTTGTTTAAGCCTCCCCCCAACCCCGGCCCCAGTCTGTGGCATTCTGTTATAGCAACCCTGGTACACTAATATGATATCTAAGACTTACACGTATTTATTTTACTTGTCCTTTTCAGTGTTTTCTTTATTAGTCATCCTTAATCCATTGGTTATCCCAGGTTCTTTGTCAACGTCCGAGGAAAGACAGATCTAATAGTAAATGCCATGTTTTAATTAATGTCCCTTCTTTAATAATATTCTGATGAATAAGGGCTTTATGATTTATTTTTCCTGGAGTGTTGCTTGTGTCCAGCAAAGGTTCCCTTCTATCCTAATACTATGGCTCATTCATGGATTTGTATATAAATTTGAATATCGCTTTTAATCACCGGGGTCAATTATTTGCAACCATGACCAGGAACAGTTTGTCTTTCCTTTCTGTGTATGCCACTCTTCCCCTCAAGGGCTGGAATCTGTTTCACCTCACCTTGAATCTGGGCTGGCCTTGTGATTTGCTTTGCCCAGTAGAATGCAGTGGAAGTGATGCTGGTGAGTCCCAGACCCAGTCCTTTAAAGGCGCTGCAGTGTGCGGTGCAGTGTGCCCAGCCCGCTGCAGAGTCCCCTTGAAAGGGAGAAGGCTCGGGTGGGGAGCTGGAAGCATGAGGGTGTTGAGTGCCTGCTGAGTTCCAGGAGGGAGAGGGAAGCGGCTAGGGGATTGGGGGGTGCCAGAGACAAAGTGTACCTGCTGGGCCTGCTTGTGTGGCCGGGAAGGCACCAGGGAACGAAGCACAGGGCTTTTATGATGGTGGTTTTAATTGGCCATGGAGCCCTGTTGACCTGCCCTGGATATTGCGAAGTTGGAGCTGTGAGGGCTGCCTGATGTAGGGACTGGCGGGACAGCATCCACAATTGCCTCCTTGGATCTCTGGTACTTTCCCCAGGCACTGGCTGGGGAATTGGCTCCAGAACACATACTGCCTTGCCTGGGTGGCTCAGTCGTTAAGCATCTGCCTTCAGCTCAGGTCATGATCCCAGGGTCCTGGGATCGAGCCCCACTTCGGGCTCCCTGCTCCGTGGGAAGCCTGCTTCTCCCTCTCCCACTCCCCCTGCTTGTGTTCCCTCTCTCGCTGTGTCTCTCTCTGTCAAATAAATAAAATCTTTAAAAAAAAAAAGAAATTATGTCATCCCATGGTGTAATGGTTAGTTTCATGTGTTAACTTGGCTAGGCTATAGTACCTAGCAATTCAATCAAACACTAATCCAGGGGTTTTGTAGGTGGATGGAGATTAAATTCTACAGTTGTTGACTTTAAGTAAAGGAGATTACCCTCTATTATTATTATTAACTGGATAATTATTCTCATCCAATCAGTTGAATGCCTTTAAGAGCAAAGGCACCTGGGTGGCTCATTCAGTTAAGCGGTTAAGCATCTGCCTTCGGCTCAGGTCATGATCCCAGGGTCCTGGGATTGAGCCCCGCGTCGGGCTCCCTGCTCAGCAGGAAGCCTGCTTCTCCCTGTGCCACTGCCCCTGCTTGTGTTCCCTTTCTGACAAATAAATAAATAAAATCTCTAAACATAAATAGATAGATAGATAGATAAATAAATAAATAAATAAAAAAGTCAGTCATACTGATATAGGCTGGGCCCCTAATCCAGTATGACTGGTGTCCTTATAAAGAGGGGAAATTTGGGTGCAGGCAACCTGTAGATGAAGAAATAGATCAGAGTAATGCAGAAGCCAGGGAATGACAGAGACTTCTAGTAAGCCAGCAGGAGCTAGGGGAGAGGCACAGAACCAAGTCTCCTGTGTAGCTCTTGGGGGAACCAATGCTGTTGGACACCTCGATGTCAGACGTGTAGCCTCCGGAACTATGAGACAGTACATTCGTGTTGCTGAAGCCCCACAATTTGTGGTACTTTTTAATAGCGGCCCTAGCAAACTAGCACAAAGACCAGTGCCCCTTTGCCTCCTTTTTCTCATCTCTGCAGTTCCAGGTGGGTGAATGCAGACAGAAGCTTGTGCCCGTGATGTGGGGGCTGCCAAACGGCCTCACACCTTAATCCAGTTAAAATTAAAATTCTCATTTCCTCAAAAAGTTCTGGGAAAGGAGATTTATTGGGTATTTCAGGCACAAGGGAAAGGAGATACTCTTTGATAGGAGGACCTTTTTTAATGCCTCTGAAACTGTAGCAGATACGTTGTTTGATATACCTTCTTCGAGACCCTTCCACCCAAGAATATGTCTTTCATTATTGCAGAGTTTACACAGAGTTAACACCTCATTGTATTTCTCAAGAAACCTGATTTAACCTGACTGGATTCGGATTGGCGCTTGATTATTCCGATGTAATCATTTTTTGTAATGATTTTTAGGGCCATGATTGTTGAAAACTGATGTTAGAGTCTTAAAAGAGGTGTACCTGATGCAGAAATGTTTAGTGCCTTATACAAACAATAATATTGGGTGCATTATGTAGTAATAATGGAAATTACATTTGCAAAATAGTTGTGGTGAGAGAACATCCTGAAACACAAAAAATGGAAAAAGCACAGAGGGAAAGAAACCCATGTTTTATTCACAGCATTTGGCTGGCTGTGCTTTCAGGCTGGAAGTCAGGGAAGAAGTTTATGAGCTCCTCGGTCCTGCGCCATCCTTGGCCGTGTGATTTAGATCAACCTACTCGGTTCTGATTGAAGTGGAGAATTTCCAGTCATTGGAATCAAAAGGGGTTGGCAATATGGTTGTATTTGAAAATACTTTCTGCTCTTTCGATAGGACAACATTTTGTAAGTGAAATTGGATTTTCACAGTAAGCATATATTTACTATGATTTATCCTAATTTGTTTTTTTTTCTGTTGCTCATAACTTCTGATTGATAGCTTATTTTAAAAATGTTTGGAAAAAAATATGAAACATATATTCCTCTATATTCACCAGTGTAGTTTTTAGGTCAGTTGCAGGCTGATTAACTTTGCCCTGTCCCTTAATAGTTTGATGTATTGATCACATTCAACATGTGAACTCACAGAAAACCATGGTAGAAATACATCTATAAGGATTTTAAAAAATTCTTAACTATGTCAATTGACATGAAATGTTGATTTTGAGTTTTGGCTATTTTCTGTACTAACTAGACAATTTTGTAAAGTTTTAAATACATACTTCTTTTGACAGTTTAATTACCCCAATTCAAGAATATTCTGCTTAAAATTTCAATGATTAAACAAAGTCAAGAAAGTGGCAGGGCTGCAGAGATGAAAAAAAAAGAAGTGAGTTAATTTTTTTGTGTCCAATTCACAAAAATTATCTTAGCCTTGTGCCTTGTGCATGTTTGCATAGAATCTGCCTTTGGTTCCTTTCAGAAAAGAAAGTCTTTTGTTTTGTTTTTCATTTTACTTTTTCTCTTTTGAGTTTGGACAGGCTAGTTTACAGATATCTAGATGATTCTGAGGCCTCTTGGTATTCTTGGGGTGTTACCATCACTCTTTCCCTGGTGGACCATAAGGTGCTACTGTCCAAGGCAAGACAGTGAAAGAAGGCATCTCCCTTGGGATGTAAGGATACTGGGCAAGGACCATTTTCCTGGAGCAGTTATGTCTAAATCCTACCCATCTTCTCCTCCACCCAACTCTGAAATCACACAAGCAATATCGGCAGCCCAAAGTCATTTTTACCAAGGCCTCGTCTGCACATAGGGCTGTTTCGCTGAGATTATGTATGTAGAAAGTAATTCTGTAAGCTGTAAACTGCTCTGCAAATGTAAACTGGGGATACTGATAACAAGACTTCTACTCACGGGGCCTTATTCACTCTCTAATGGCACTTTATTTTCTAAACCAAAAGCCTTTTAGGGAATCTGAGTTACCATTTTTCATCTTGTGGTTTATGGGGAGTCAGCATCGTGTAGTGGGTTAGAACATGGGCCATGTGGACAGACTCAGTTCACATGTCACCACTGCCTCTCCAGCTGTGTGACTGGGGATAGGTTACTCTCTGAGTCTGGGTTCCTAAACTTCAAACAGGGATAGCAACAGAATTAGCCTTGCAGAATTGTTGAGAGGAGTAAAGGGATATTGCAAGCTAAGCACTTTGCATGGTGCCAGGCGCATACAAGCGCTCAGTAAGTAATTAGCTTTCATTGCTTTCTGGAGGCATTTGGGGTTCTGTTATTCTAATAGCAAAGCCAGCAAAAATGAGCTGATTCTCTTAATTAATTGCAAAATCTCTCCTATCCTACTCTCCTCCCTATATTTCATCTTACCTAGAGTGTGAACTTAGGTTCATTAAACGAACAGAGAATGGTGTTGCCTTTTTTCCCCCGCTTTAGGATGCTGTGCTGGTGTATACTGTTAAAAGAAATCATGGGATAATAATCTTTTTTTTTTTTTTACAAGTCTAATAATCAGATACCTGAGAACTCTCCCTGGCTTCCAGTCCTGAGAAGTTGGAGGGGGCTGAGGGTTGTGAGGTGGTCCCGGCAGACGGCGGCCCTCTGTCCGGGCCTCCCTATGGGCCACCGTGCTGTCCTGACATGGCTGGGTTCCTGTGAGCAGAGTCTGGGCTGTCGGGGAGAGGCTGTGGGCATGCAGCTCCATGAAACACATGCCCCAGCATCTCCTTCTCAGGCACCCGTTCCCATTGGGCAGAAAGTAGGAGGGTCCTTTATGATTTCCGACTGGCATTTCATTATTTGTGTATTAACATTTGGTGTGGAGTGAGGTTAGAAACTCATGTCATTAGTGGCCATTGAAAAAGACCTCTAACTCTAAAATCTGAAACATTCTGCTTTTGTAGGAGGTCGTTAGTTATACAGCGATGCTCCTGATGTCAAGATGGTATTTTTAACAACGTTTATTGAATCTGCTAATCTCGTTGCATCATTTTGTTACAGATTGATGTTCTCAAAGCAGATCTGGAGAGTGCAGAATGGAAAGTTTTAGAAAATCTTATTCTGGAAGATGTCCTGGAACAAATTGGACAGCTCACCTTTGAGATTCATCTCCACTGGCCCGGGTTTGAGGTCAGTGGTGGGGACAGCAGTGTCGTGCGATTCTGGTACAGCCTCCTCAAAGAGTTAGAACTAAAGGGTTTCAGGCTTTTTCATAGTTACAGAGATTTATCTAAACCCCAGCTGTTCCTGAAGAAAGACATTTTCAATGCAAGTAGCTGTTACACTCTGAGTTGGGTGAATACAAGATGGACCTAGGATGCAGGACCTCATGGAGAACTCCGGGAAATAACTTCAGAATGAGGCGTGTCCTTGTCCAGTCTCCTCCCGCGAGCCTGTTAGCTGCTCCGGGCGGGGGTGGGGTGGGGTGGGGTGGGGTTGTGTTATCGCCTTTGTAGTGCACGTAGCCCGGCACCTACCCTGTGGTAGGGACACGGTTAAGACCTGTGGATGGGATGGACACCGGAGTGCCACAGGAGTCCATCTCCATCTGCCCAAAGCCTGGGCCTTTCTCCTGTTTGCCTCCGACAGAGCGGGGATGCTTGTCCTTCTTCGTTTTAACTGGGAAGATAACCCTCCACTTATCTGTGTTCCCTAAAATTCATTATGCATCTAAAATCTATGAATTCACCAACATGAGGAAGAAATTACCTAACATTTCCATTTTTACTGAGTTGATGAGATTCTTAAGTTTGTAGCTTACTGTTTAAAAGAGGGCCTTTCCTTTGACTGTCACTCCCCTCTTTCAGGGTTTTTCTTGTTCACCTGGTCAATGACATTCTTTAGGACCTTGTAGATTTCAGTCATTCCTCCTCAGCCTTTGCTGAGGCCATGCTGTGGCTTTATAATCACCCCTGGTTCTGGTTTCTGGGGACTCAGACGCACCAAATTCTGTCACCGAGCTTAAAAGCCTAGACTATGCAGAACCTCAACTCAGGATTCTTTTCAGACTCAGCCTTAAATCCCCTTCTGTTCCTATGAAACCAAGCACAAAGCAGAATCTGGGTGTCTTTGCTGTTGCCTCCACTGACTTCAGACCTGACTTCCCAACCACAGCCTTGCCTATCCTGTCAAATTTTTTTTTTTTTGATACATTATGTCAAGGATTAAGTGAGTTTTTCTCTACTGCCAGTTGGCATTTGTTAGAAGACCATGGCCTGAGAGCCAAAGTCTGTCTCTTTCCTGGGATGCTTACATAGTGTTTTAGTAACACCAATCCTTTCTGTATTTTTAGAAATTAAACAGAAAATGTAGGTTCTCAGTAGTTCAAATGATCTCCATCATTTTTATTTATAGGATTAGATATTTACCCCCACAAATGATTTTCAAAAATTCTATTTCAAATAAGTCAATTGAATAGCATAAAAACAAACCAAGTTATTACCTTATTATAAATTAAGTATATTTTCTGGCATTTTTTACATCATGAGAGAGCAGGAAAACTATATATCCATTGTTGGTTCAAGAAATTTGGGGAGAGAGTAGAATGCTGGTTGCTACTAGACTTTATCCCTTCTTCCTGTTTTTTACCTCCTTCTACCCCAGATGTTCCCTGGGCTGGCTTTTTGTTTCTTGCAGTGGTTTGAAAATACCATGCCATCAAGTGAGAAACCAAAATATAGGAGAGTTAGATGATCTTATTCACTTCAGTTCAAAAGGGAACAAGACTTTCTGAATTTTTAAAAATACAAATAAGCTTTTTATTTTAAAACACATAGTACACTAGTAAAAGTCATTGAGGGTGGGAGAACCAGCTTGAATCAGTTAAAAAGTAGCAGCTAAGTTGCTCTCTGTGTCCATAGGTATCTCAAAAACACAAAGGGTCCATGAAAAACTCTGAAGTGGTTTAATGCTTAGTGTGCATGGTATTGCCTTCAAAACAAAGTTAACTTTAGTCCAGTTCCTGCTTGGATTATATCACAGATTCTCTCTTTTATTTTTTAATCAAAATTTTATACACCGAAGTATATACAATAAACCTTTTTATACATTAAACCTGGTAAACCTTCTTGTATACCAAAGTATGAAGTGTTCTAATCTTATGTGTCCAGTCTGTTCAGATTTTAGATACGTACACGCCCATATTAAGACTTTTAATTCAGGGGATTGAAGATTGATGGAATCACTGAAAGTCCCTTTTATACAGGGCAAATCCCCATTTATTCCAGATTGGTGGTGCAGAACATTGACTTCATCACACACAAACACACACACACACTATATATATATATATCTGAAGCAAGAATGGCTGTACTGTTAAAAAAAAAAAAAAGACAAACTCAAAATAAATCACAAACACACCCACCCACACCCACCTATAAGGCAGCTTGTTCAATAGTTTTTTGTACTTATTTTATGCTTATTTCTAAGACTGTCCTTCATTCCCTTCATGGATAGTTCGAAATTTATGATGAATATCCTGACTGTTGCTATGGTTTCCCTGCCTCTGAAATTTATTATGCTTATTGTGTAGGCTGGGGTTTCTTAACCTCAGCACAGATTGCCACTTTGGGCTGGATAATTCCTTGTTGGGGGAGGGAAGGCTGTTCTGTGCCTTGTAGAATGTTTAGCAGCATCCCTGGCCATCTCCACTAGATTCCAGGAGCACCTCTCCCTCTCCCCCACTCAGCTGTGACAACCAGACACATCTGCAGACAGTGTCAAATGTCCCCTTGGGGGCAAAGCCATCCCCCGTGGAGAACTAGTGGTGGAGGCCACGAGCAAGGGTCTGGGGTACCACGCACTGCCATTTGGGAAGATTCTGCTTGTGAAGGCAAAACAAGAACCAGCACCACCGTAACCCCCACAAAAGCAACACAAACAGAACACAGGGGAGAGGTAAAGTCAAGAGCTGCTATCGAGAGCATCCTCTGTGCCCAGCACTGGGCAGAGATGGTTCCTCATTCTCCAGGAACTCCGTAAGGAAGTGGAGTTTTCCCGATTGTACAAGTGAGGAAACCCTGAGAGGTTAAATAGCTTATTCAGATGATGCCACTAGTAGATGGTAGAGTAGGAATCCACCTCTCCGATCTTTCAGATCCAAAGCCTGTGCTGGTCCCCTTCCCTCCACAGGGCCGCCTCAATAGCCTCTAACAGATGTGAGATGCCACTCCCAAAGGGCGTATTTTTGCTTCCTTATTAGTAAATGGCGGGGGGGGGGGGGGGCTACAAATATACTAACAACAGACCTGCAAATCAGAGTTGGGACATTTTTGTAGCATGCAGGTTTAGTTTAAATAATCTATTTAAGGGGCACCTGGGTGGCTCAGTCGTTAAAGAGTCTGCCTTCGGCTCAGGTCATGATCCCAGAGTCCTGGGATCGAGCCCCGCATCGGGCTCCCTGCTCTGCGGGAGGCCTGCTTCTCCCTCTCCCACTCCTCCTGCTTGTGTTTCCTCTCTCGCTGTGTCTCTCTCTGTCAAATAAATAAAATCTTAAAAAAAAAAAAATCTAATTAAAACATGCCTGCCAAATGGAGACTTCCTGCAAGAAGAGGGGGACCCAGCGACTTCTCTGTCAATATTTCAGGTTGCCAGAAAAGCTCTTGCAAGGCCTGGAAGCAGCTCTTGGCCCTGGCTTGTCCCACTATGTGGCACTTTCCTCTTAGGTTTTAGAAAGGGCACAGTCACTTGGAAATGGAGTGTTTCCTTTGTTTTCAAAGTAGTCTTTGACCTGCAGATACATGGGCCTCATCTTACCAGAGCAATGCTCATATGTGAATCTAAAAGTATAAATTTAATGATGTTCTTCAAATGATTAAAAAAACCTGTTTAGGTGAAAGACGGATAAGACATACATAAGAGATTCGCACAAACTGTGTCACAATTTAGTTTGAAGTCAAAGAAAAAATATTTCCCTTTCCCCTTCTCTTAGAGTGATTGTATTTGTTGCATCTATAACAGGTTATCATATAAATATTTGTAACTATTTGATATGTTAAAATGAAGAAAGTCAGGAAGAAGTAAACAAACGTCTGTTAGAATTCTCTGAAGGACCACTGATCTCTATTAGGGTAGAGCAAAAGTAAATTCATGAGTTTACGGTGTTTAGTACAAATTAATTATTCATGTAAACTATTTCTGTCTTGGCTATACGATTTTAGATATAGTAAACACAGTACAAGATTTGGATTTCCTAAGTATTACATGTTTGTTTTTTGCAAAGCTTGGATTAATACCAGGGAGCCAGCCTCATCATCATATTTTGTCAGATTAAAAGTGAAGCCCTCATTAAAACAGATTATTATTCTTGACAACACAACAATACCTCCAGGCTCAATTAATATAATTGTTCTTTTCTGCTGGAGATAAGTTTATGTTTGCCTTTTAAGCAATAACAATTCTTTTTGTATTAGCCAATAGCTGCTTCTTTGTGAGTTCAGAACACATTTAACTTTATGTAAAAATGTCTTTTTCTTATTGAAAGAGGTATTTGAACTTTACTTATCACATGAAATCATAACCCAAAGATTCAATGTATTCTTAAACTGCCTAAATTTAGAAAATATTGAAATTCTTTAGATAATTATATTTCTGTCCTTAAGGAAAATAAATCAGGCAAACTTTTTTTTATTTTTTAAAGATTTATTTTTCTGACAGATAGAGAGACAGCGAGAGAGGGAACACAAGCAGGGGGAGTGGGTGAGGGGGAAGCAGGCTTCCCACGGAGCAGGGAGCCCGATGCGGGGCTCGATCCCAGGACCCTGGGATCATGACCTGAGCTGAAGGCAGACGCTTAATGACTGAGCCACCCAGGCGCCCCTAAATCAGGCAAACTTAATGTCACACTTTATGTTTAACAGTATATGGAAAAATGCTAGTTTCATTAAAATTAATGCTTTGTGGGGCATCTGGGTGGCACAGTCGGTTGAGCATCAGACCCTTGGTTTCAGCTAGGGTTGTGATCTCAGGGTCATGGGCTCGAGCCCCGTGACAGACTCCCTGCTCAGCAGAGTCTGCTTGAGATTCTCTCTCTCTCTCTCTCTCAAATAAATAAATCTTTGAGAAAAAACCCCAACTAATGCTTCTTAAAACAAACAACATTCCTGTGGGCACAGTTATGGGGCCCAACTCTAACGGAAGAGGCCAAAAGAATGTCTTTCGCTAGGTTCTGTTTTACTAAAGGATGAAACAAACACAGTCTCTGTAGCTGAGTGTTTCTTTTGAACTACCTAACTCGGAGAGCGCAAGCTGGAAGCTACAAAGATTATGCCACAAATCTGACAGTTCAAAAAATACACAACTAAGTCGCATTATGTGGAGGAGGCAGAAGAGTAGGATGGAAGGAGAAAGATTTTGCTGCTGCTGCTGACTAGCTGTGTGGCATCGAGCGAATCACCACCTTTATTTGCCTAGTTGCTTATCTTAGGTTGGAATATTTGATTTCTAAGGTTTCTTCTTGCTTGAAGATCTCATTATTCTAAGATTTTTGTGATTAGAGATGGCTTAGACAGTGGTAGGGTAATTTCTTCATTTGTGTGCTATAAAGGGAAGCCTTAGGATAAATTCAGAAGAATCCAAATGATGTGCTTATTCAGAAGAAAAGGCCTGAATAAAAGAGGAATCTGTGATGATAGTTCTCCAATCAAATGAAGTGCCCTCAGGCCAAGTACCTCTTTGGAGAACAGCTTAAACTCACAGGGTTCTAAAAACTGGAATGTTTCAGACTGTACTGGTTTATACATCTGTTTACAGAATATCCTAACAAAGTGGCACCATCTGAAGATACTAGATTAAGTATGTGTATCTACGGCGATCCTTCTGTATGTGCATGTGTGAGCGTGTGTACATATACATTTATATGTATGGCTGAATGCCCAAGAAAGAAAAATCTTCAGACACACAAAGCTCAGAGGGAGCCTAGAACCAGACAGGTAGGTAGAGCAGGAAGCTACTCTGCAGCAGTCCTAGGAGTTTAGTGTATCAGTGGTGCTAGAGGCCGAAAGCACTGGAGATAAGGCTGTGTGGGGGGAAAGGATCGGCATGGAGACACTTGCACAGTGGGACCCTGGGAGTGCTCCATTACCTCAGTGCAAGAGTCCTAAAAATCCTCCCTCCCTCCCTCATCCCCACCCCCAGCACAAGAAAGCCTATCCTTGCTGTAGCTCTGGGAGGAACTAAAAGTTTCCCATGAGAATCTGAAACCTCTGGCCTGTTTACGGAGTTGACTTTATATTCATCTCATGGTGAAGAAAACCAGAAGCTGAGAAATGAAGATAAAAAACTGAGGGAGTATACATAAGGGTATATGGCAGAAACGGATGTAAAACGACTGTGAAGGGGCTCTTCAACTCAGGCTACAAAGGATTTCTTCAAAAAAGAAAAAACAAGACCCATTTAAGATGAATTCCTAACAAAAAGTTACAACTGACAAGGAAGTGGCCCACCATGAGGTAGAGTTGACATACACAATAAACGCGGGGTTTTCAGCCCAAGAACTTGACATAACAAGTCTTAAAGTATAATATAAATTGTTTAAAATGATTAAAGGCATTAAAGACGGGCGCCTGGGTGGCTCGTTAAGCGTCTGCCTTCGGCTCAGGTCATGGTCCCAGGGTCCTGGGATCAAGCCCCGCATCGGGCTCCCTACTCCGTGGGAGGCCTGCTTCTCCCTCTCCCACCCCTCCTGCTTGTGTTCCCTCTCTCGCTGTCTCTATCAAATAAATAAATAAATAAAATC